TGTCATTTACACTTAGTCGGATTATACACATACATACTATTGTATACTGACGTACATAAAGAGTGCACAATACTTTTTTTAGAATTATCCACAAAAAATCAGAGGAAATAGCCAATCCTAGTTTTAAACATACGCGTAATTAAAACCACCCACTTGACATTACTAGTTACGCAAATGCACTTAAGTTTAAGTACAGTTTCAGGTACGTTATCCGTGTGGCACAACTGCACCTAGTTAACTAGAACATAAATGCCTCGAATCATAACTGTAAAAATATAAATCACAAAAAAACACATCGTGGTTGCAATATTCACTCTCGCTTGGCAGTAACATGGAAAAAGTATTTAACGGAATCATGGCTAAACTACACAATACCTACTGTACAACAGGTATCTCGAATTTCGACATCCAAATCGAGGAAAAAGGTTTGTCTCTTTTTTTAAATGTGTAAATATATGTGTGTATGTGGGCATGTATGTACTTATGTATGTCATTCCAGGCATGAAAAATAAACTACCAATGAAACTGCATGCTTTTAGTTATAATTTTAAACTGGGTTTTCTTTTGACTGCATCGTGTCAAACTAAAGAGCCTGTTCATTTATTTAAAAATGTGACTCGTGAACGCTCAAGAAGGAAGCTAAACTTGTAGGTTTTCTTCAAGAGACAACTACAGTTTGAAAATTATGGGTGTTAGTGTAATGACGACAACTTAAAAATGGCAAACGTGTGCAAATTGGCAGATTTTATATTTGATGTCAAGTAAGGTTTGAAAACCAGGCCGAAAATTGAAGATGGATTATTATGTACATAGTATACCTATGTCAGAGCCCTGAATTTCCAATTTATTCGATCATCAAGTGTCCTCGCCTGTTCAACTTACTGTTAAAAACGGAATAATAGCGAGTGATACGAACTCAACACTTGACGTAACTGCGACAGATATGCGAAACAAGGAAATTGAATTCATCAGGACATATTTCAATAGTGTTGGACAACAAGAGCATTATTTGCTGGCAGAATATGAAGGAGGTGCTGAAATTTGGAGAGGATCTTAGAATCTTACGCTTTGTTATCGTCGACGTCATTTGTTTGTTCACAAACGCACAACAAACGCAAAGACCACAAACGCTTTTCAATAAATGGTAAGGAAACAGTGCATAGCATCAAAAAGTACGGCACTGCAAAAATACAATATGTAACGGAAAAAAGTGTTCATTGGAGTTTACTTTACAAATTTTAATTTACGCTAATTATTACAAAAGTACTAACGGACCTAAGCATCATCTCTACGTGTTTTTATAGCTTCACCCGTTTTCGAAAATAATAACGGCAATGTACCAATTGCAATTTTCCATTTACAATAGAAAGCACATAAACTAGGCAATGCATACATGGATCAGAAAAGGTCAGATTTCAAACGCTGTATTACAACGAGATAGATTAAACAGTTATCACATTTTTAATCAACAAGCTAAGCAAAATGACCATTTTTAGGACTCGCGAGGAGGAGCAAATAAACAAAAAAAATCTGCTGAGCACAATTACGCCACCAAAACATATCAAAAATTGAAGAACAGTCAAAAATTTGGCTGCCCAGCAACAATCCGTGAAATAAAAGTTTTTAAGGACTACTATCTCGACAAGACTCTTTATCCAACAGCGAACAGCTTGAAAAAAGCGAAAAAAACCGTTTTAGATAAACTATGAGCAGACATTTCTAAGACTCCAAACAATATGAACACCTCATCAAAGTGCTACGTGAAACTACCTTTAGTAATAGAGTAATAAGTAAAATTCACGAGCTTGTCCGTAAGAACGTTACTCAACCCTTTGTTTCCAAGTTGAGCCTTGTTCGAAATCAGGCATTCACCGTCAACGAACTAAAACCTTTGAAAGAAGCGCTTGACTACACAAATAAACTGCACGAAATCTTAAATCGAAATTGCCCAGTCAGTGAAGGTTTCCCAATTGGAAATATTCCAACAAAAAAGCGTTTGAAAGTAACAAGTGCGGAGTATCATCAAGTATTTCATAAAAAGTTGCCTCTTCGTTGCAAAAAGAAGCATGCTAATAACTTTATCACAACAATGATCCCAGACATAAGTTAAAAGCGCGCTGTATCATCAAACAAGGTGAGATAATTTTCATTTTCGCAACCTCGATTGACGAGCTCTTTTTTACAAATTATAATTTTCACTCACAATTTACGTTCCAAAATGCACTTGAAGAGCCAGTTGAGCAAGAATTGTTGTATGAGAGTGAAACAGAGGAAATCCAGGCATCACAAGAAAGCACTGAAGCACCGACAATCAACAACTTGGAACAACAAGAAAGGTCAGTGATTCATTGCAAAACGAGCTGAAATTGTGAATGTATCTTGATGCACTATGTTTTTAAATAATATAGCACCTACACTGATACTTGCAAACAGTTGACATACAATTCATTGTTTCTGACTCCAAGGCAACGAATAAATGCCTTTATAGAAAGACAGTGTCTTGGAGATACTGTGCAGGAATTTGGTCCTGTGAATGTATCAAAAGTAGATCTTTGGTCACTTGTCAGTCCAAAAGATATAACTGAAAAAGAATTAAAAATCATTGAAAAAGTCACCACATTCAAACCTGGTTGGCTGACTGACTCTGTAAGAGAAAAAAGCGTCTAATACAGTCTTCTTATTTATCATTATAAGTCATTGTTTATAACCATGAGTGCTATGTACACGTAAAACTGGCGAGGAAATCTCTTCAAACTATGCTTTCTTTTGATTTTGGGTAATTGACGCTTTTTTTGGAGTTTGAAGGAAAACTACACTACTGTTCTTTCAGCAGAATCATTTATTTCACAGATTGTTAAAAACAACTCAAGCACAAGATGCACATGGGCTAATGGATCTTTTCACCAAACCAAAATTATCCTTTTTCCAATCAACATCCATGACATTCACTGGACACTACTGGTAAGTATTTGAGCTAATCAATGAAGGCAATAATAAAATATAGACATGCATTATATACATACTTAGCCCACACGAGTCCACACATTTACATGTAAAAATTAGTATCTATAGAAACATTAACTAATTTAATTCCTTAATTAACAAAGAGAAAATTTTTAACTAAATGCATCAGTAATTTTGTGTAATATAGGCTATAGATAAGTTCTCAAAAACAAGACTCTACTTGACCAACTAGGAGGAAGTGCACACAAAAAGACACCTGATACACAGATGATGTATCATATAAACAAACAAAGTGGTCATTGTTTGTCACTGCTTTAGTCCTTTGGTAGATGTAAAAACAGGTTGGAACTCAAGCTCATGGCAATGTTTTGAGCCACTCCATTATAAACAGGAAGATATGTATAACTGTGGAGTGTACATATGCTTGGTAAGCTTGAAATAGCCTAAGGTTACTTGAATAGCTATTTTACAAACATGATTATTCAGTAACTCTCATTTCAGATCATGTTGCTTGATGTTCTAGCCCTTGGCTTGACTATCAAAACCAGCAAACATGACTGAGAGAAAATCCTTTCAACATTACTTGTATAATTGTTATTATACAGACATTATTTATAATATTATGGCCTTGTGTAATGTATGTCAAGAACTTATTAATTCTGCAAAAATGCTAACCTTCTTGCACTACTGTTACAGTTACAAATTACAGTTACTACTAATTTTTCTAGGTTCAAACAACTTGACAAATTTTTGAATTTTACATTATGCCTTTGAATTTTTCTTTTTGTCTTTTGGTAAAAATATCAGTAATGACTTAAAATCAAGTTTATCTAAAATAGTATTTTGTACAAAGTAACTATACATAATTGGAAAAGTCTCATGTTGAAGGCAGATGTGGCTTCTTTTACTAGATTGCTACTCTTATTCTTTTAAATGATATCGTAATTCTTCATAAGACATAAAAAGTTCTTTGCCATCAATTTTTGCTTCTTCCACATTCATTGCAACCAATGCATCTTATGTGAATTTTTAATCACCTGGAATTGAAAAACATATGGATTTTGTCAGATGATGCAGTACTGTATTTAATGTTTCATGCATGTCATGATAAGCTTTTCTTGAGCAAATATTTCAAGGTAGGAGCAAAATTTGGCACATTATTGAACAAAGTAGTTTTTATCTTGATTTTGATGTACTAACCTGTTTACTACACTGTGTAACAAACAATTCATTTACAGAAACACCAGATGGCATTTATAAAACTTTTAGCATAAAGCAAACCTTTACACACCATCATCATGCTTGTCCAAATCTGTCAAATTGTCCAGGCTAGCTGTTTAATACAGGTAATTTTTATTGTACGACATGTACCAAAGAGCTCATTAATTAATCCTGCACTGCATTTGATTTCAATACAGCTCTGTCCTTAATATTTGCTTCATATTTTCAGAAAAATATCATGACAAAATCCTCCATTTCAACTCAGTTGAAACAAGGAGTTTTAAGATATGCATATCTCGATAAGAACTGGTTGCTTTGCCTCGTCTAGCAATCGATTAAGTAAAGAACAAATAAGACTGGATAAACATAACTTAAATTATAACTTTGGAGTAAAAACATTCACAAAATATATGCCATCACACTTCAAGTATTGACTTAAAACAAAACACTGAACACTTTAAATAGTAAACAATCTTACGTTGCTTACCGGTGTCATGAAATGTTTCCTTTTCTGGCATTACTTCAGCATCCGTATACCAAACAAGTTTGCAGCATGTTTTAAAGATAAAATTTCTAAAGTTTTTGTGCTTGGCATTGATATTTTATATAATCGCTATTGTGGTTGTCAAATCCGGGTGGGCGAAAAAAATTTCATTTTATGAGCCCGCGTCTTTCCGCTGACTTTGACAACCAAAATCCGCCATGTTTTTGACCACGCGGCCGCGCGCTGATAATTTATAGTAATTTTGTTGACGTTTCCCCTCCAGGTCTTATAGAACTCAATGGTTAGATCATAGGTGAGATATGCACATATACGAAACTGCGCTTAATTGCGGTCAGCAGTAACAATCCACCCAGAACTCTTTAAGATTGCGCGCTTTCACCGCGAATTTTTAAAAAACAACAATGGACTCGTGCTGTTCTTCGATTAAAATGTTTTCATGGCAGAAAGACATATGGGAAAATTTTGAGGAATACAAAAAAGACACGCGCTCGGGATGGAGATGTGTGAGTTCAAATGCACTTTTCGGTAAGTATGTAATCATTGTAATGTCTACAATAATCACATAACTTCACGTCAGAATTCATACAATATATTATATTTAATCGTGCCGTCCGAGATTTCGATTGTTGCGATTATATAAAGCATGAATGAACAAATGATACACTTTTTCATTGCTAATTATTATTGTAGTTTATTATCAATAATTCTGCAATTTGAGAGATTAATACTGATCAAAGGGCTCATATTTTCAAGGCAAAACCATTAAAGAGGTGATGAATTCTGGAAAGTCTTTGTCAAGGGTGCAATGGAGCCTTTCCAATCCAGATGGAATTTCATACGCCTTTGATGGAATTCCATTTATTTGTATTGGAACATTGAATTATCATTGTCATCAAGGTGAAGATATTGATAAAAGTACGAAAATAAAAAGAGCAAAGGAAAGAGATGAAAATGAGGTACTTACAACTCTATATCGTCACTTTTACTACACACATTTTCACAAATTTACCAGTGACAGCCCTGGTTCTTTGTTCTAACATATTTTTGTCGTTTGTTTTTTTAGGGTCACGATCACACGTTTAGAAAACGGAAAAAACATTTTCAACCTACCAAAAAAATTGGATGTCCGAGCAAAGTATATATGTCACGGATTTTTAAATTCCCACAGTACAAGGTAAGATAAAATTCGGTTCATATACTTAAGTCAAACTGATGTCTAGTTTTCAACAGCAAACTTAAAATTTCTGAAGTATTAAATCCCACGTTCTTTAATGTAATATGACAATTTAGGTTGAGGTTTCCTCTGGTGCTATAAAACCACGAAGAAAAATGCAAGAAAGAACATCCTTACTGAAAACGCGTTGAAATCGTGGGAAAATCTGATTATTGAAGATACGTTTCTCTTGAAGCTTCCAAGTATGGATAGTCATAAATATCATGTGACGGAAGGAGAGGTAAAATCTTCACTAATTAAGATAAAAAAACGGCTACATTTTAGTAAACAAAATATACCCAAATTTCCAATAAACACAGGTAGCAGGTTTGAGAGAGCCAATAGATGCACAAGTAGTGCAAAAAATAAAAGAAATGCAAGTCATAGGTGTCCGCAGTGTTGCCGAAGTACGTCGGCATTTGGAAAAGTTTGTAAATGGGCATTTATTCAATAGTAAAGATTTGCCAGCTGAGTCAAGCCGCCGTTATTATCCAACAGACGTCGATATAAGGAACATCTTAAATGCAACCCGATCTGGAAAACAAAGATCTCCAGATGACCAATTAAATTTGGAGACAAAATTATCTGAGTGGCATGAGTTACATCCCGAAGACTTTATCTTTTACAGGGTAATGTATCATTGTCTACCTTGCGCTAACAAAACTTGCCATATTAACTCCAGTTGTATAATTTTTACTTATTTAACAGCCATTGACGGCGGAAGATGAAAAACACGTAAAAAGCACTTTTTTATTTGTGTATCAAGCGAAGTGGATGAAGCGCCTATTATTATTGTACGGGCAGGAGATGTGTCTCATGGATGCTACATACAGAACATGCAGGTAAAGAGATGTGATGCAAATACTATTCAAGCAGGAAAAAACTGTGAACACATTTTCCATTGTGATAGGTACGCCTTGCCACTCTTCTTTTTATGCGTCAGATCAAATGTTGGATACATTGTCGTCGCAGTTTTTATTCCAGAAAATGAAGACACTGGCTCAATATCCGAGGTACTCCGAATATTGAGCAGGGAAAATCCGGAGTGGAACCCCAGAAACATGATGGTGGACTTCTCACTGGCAGAAATTTCCGCGATTGAAGAGTGTTTTCCTAGTAAGAAAGAATAGCCATATATATGACAAAACACAATCATTGGTGGACATAAGGAACTCATTCAAATAAAAACACTTACTGCCATGTTAATGAATTCGTTGTACTCATGAAAGAGCGACGTGTGATTGTGTAGTTATCTAAAATAAAATAATTTTGCACTGTCAATCATAAAATGTTACCCCTAGTTTTACAAATTTTAAAACATTTTCTTTCTAATTGTTAAGAAACGCATGTCCACGTGTGCGATTTTCACCGCGAAAAGCCTGGGGTGAATGGTTATCTAAAAGTAGTAATGGTGTGAGTATGTATAAAGATGAAGTGTTGAGGCACTTGCGAAACATCGCCCAGAGTGAAAACCAAGCCACTCTTGATGAGAACATCCAGGCACTCAAAAAAAGCAGGCCATGGAAGGAATCAGTCCAACTACAAAACTATTTTTTAGACTTTTGGGGTTTATACTTAGAGGTAAGACTCACAATACCAAGAAGGAACAATAAATTATGCTCCCAGGAAAACACACATGCTTATATGCCCTTCAGACGTACATTGTCTATTATGTTATAAATATAGTTATGAATGTATTTACCACCATACTTAAATTAAAGTATTTGTTGCATTATTACTGACTTTATGCTTTAGAAATGGGTTCGCTTTTTTTCGAGATGAACATCTTCGTATTGCAATTTATACAAACAATGGTATCGAAAGACAAAATAACTGGCTCAAGCACTCATATCTCGAAAGTAGACGAAATAACTCGGTGTCTGATCTGGTTGACGTAATAATCAACCATTTTTTACCTGATAGTTACAAGAAGTAAGTGATGGTACAATATCCGCTCCTTGAGAATTTGTACAACTTGATTATGATCGTCTTCTTTAAAAATTTTGTAAGTTTTCTCATGTACGTATGGTAATTTTACATAGATACAAAGAGCAAAACATTCGATGTACGTCATCATATCGAGGCTACGATGATCGTGTTCCAAAGTATCTCCACGACCGACCCAGAGGTGTTGTTCAACATATCATCAGTAGAATCGACTCTGGCATCCAGATTTCAAACATTAAAAAAGAGACTCCAAAGCTTTTCATCGTACAAGGAGCAGAATGCGCATACCAAGTAAGGCTTGGCTCAGACGAAGAGTTACCATCGTGTCAGTGTCTCGACTTTCGAACAAAGAAACTTCTCTGCAAGCACATATGCGCAGTTGTTCAACAGCCAGACATAGGGTGGGAATCATTGGGCAGAAAATTCGACAAGTACCCCTGTTTACTTTGGATAAAGTGATAACTCAACGGTCTTCCTCTTCCGCTACAAAACCATCGTCAAATTCAGAATACACACCTGAGCAACACATAATAGAGAAAAGGATAGTGATCAGGTAATACATGTCAGCAAATCAAATAATAGAAACCTTTCTTACCGGAGAAAGTCTAACATACGTAAGCAATGCATCCAATCATTGAAGAGTCTTCAAGATGAACTGTATGTGGTTACAGATAGGAACGTTCTGAGTAAAGCCCTGGTTATGCTTGACGAAATAATTGCGTACACAAGGAAGAATCATCCTAATGAAGAGGGTGTATCGTTGAAAGACAAGTCTTTGTCACCTTAAAAAAAAACAGGTGATAAAAAAACACAGGCTCTAAAAGCAGACAAAAACTCGCCAGTTAAAGCAGAGAGCGAAAAAAAAATTAGTAAAAGAGTTGGTGCAGTTGCTGAAGCCAGGAGCAAAACAATTCTAATAGATGATGATGGTGGAATAAAAGAGGAAAGAAAGAGGAATATACACAGTGAGTTATCACATGGAAAAAAAGTAAAAAAACAAAGAAGGGATTTTTCAGAAGAAACAATCAATCCTCATGACTGTTGGGTAAAGATCAACGGCATTGGATTGACGTATCGGCAAAAAGAAATATTGGCGAGTAATTGCGGATGGCTAACTGACGACCATGTTGATGCTGCACAACATCTCATCAAAAACATGGAAACAAATGTTGGTGGCCTTAATTCCATTGTGACAATGACTTACTCCAGTAGATTCGCGCTCCCCCATGAGCAAAATCAAACCATTCAATGCCATAATACTGGTTTACACTGGGTCACGTCAAGCTCCATCACAGGAAAAGTCATTGTCTATGAAAGTCTAAACACCAGCTTGAATGCTTCTTTGAGACGGCAAATCATTAATTTGTACAAAGGACTTTGTCTTGACGATGGCTCACTTGACGTTACGGTGGTACTTCAACAGCGTCAGAAGGGAGGATCTGACTGTGGCCTATTTAGCATAGCAAATGCAGTCGCACTTGCTCAGGGGATAGACCCTTGCAAGATTTCGTGGTTACAGCAAGATATGCGTACCCATTTGATGAAATGTTTCAAGCAAAAGAAATTGGAAATGTTTCCACATCGTGTGAATTCTGCAGTTTGTACACTAAGTCATTACGTCATCAGTGTATACTGTGTTTGTTTTCGCATATCCCTGGAGCTGAAATGGTTTACTGCAATAACTGTAAGAATTGGTATCATCATCAACCTCCTTACAATTGCATCAAACTTTCTGTAAAGCAAAGTACAGCATTAGTAACAGATAAACCATTCTTATGTTCATATTGTGAAGTATCTTGCTAAATTTTCTAAAGAGGAGCTCTTCCTTTTCTTTCTGAATTGTTTCACAACAGTTTATTAAATCTTAAGAATTACAAATTTTTATAAGTAATGCAGTATGTGACTATCTGTAAATTTCATTAAGATCCCTGTTCAAGGAGATGCTTAGCTGTGTAAATATTGTGCACATATAAAATAATTTGACAAGTTCAGCTCTTTCTTCTAATATATGTATGGAACAAGTTAAATAATCATGTAGGTTAGTAACTATTAAAGAACATTTTTTTAACACATATTAGCAAAATGACATCATAAACAGTAACATCTCATAAGAAATCGTGCATCTAAGTTTCCCAGATTCCCTGACTTTAGACATATCTTTGAACTGCAAAGGTGTAATAGGCTGTGTAGCCAAATACATGAACAAATTGAAAACAGTTTGCCGGGATTAGGTGAAAACTAAGGTGTTTGCAATTTGCAATATATACCATACAGTTCATCAAGATTACAATCTTTTTTCACTATGGACAACTTGTTAGTTTGATAACTAGTGTTTATGCAAAAATAACTCAAATTTCTGTTTTTTTATTACCATCTGTTGCACAGAAGGGTTAATGATTAATGATGTACTGCTCCTTTGAAAATATTAATATATATTAATATAAATATCATAATCTCATGTATATTGGTGTCATACAATTAATATAAACGTCATAACTTCATAAGGAATTTCCTAACAAATTTGTAATTTTAAAAAATTAACAAATTATATAACCTGTTAGAGCTAAACCATTGTTGTTTGGTTTATGTAATATCATGATTCTTACATGCCAGTTTATACTTTTGGAAAACCTCTTAAAACATTATATCAAATGATCATAGCAAGCTTCTTGTAAACAATCCAAAATTAATGAACAGAGGAAGTTAAGAAGTTTGATGCATAATTTAGAAAAACATGGCACTAGAATAACTAAAATTTAATATAACAAACATTTTGAAATCAGCAAATCGTGAGAATAATGATTGCAATGAAAAATGTTTCATTGCAAAATAAGGTTTATTTCCATATGTGGGTTGAAATTATCTCGATTCCCAATGTTATTCAACCATACTTTTGTCTTTCAGATAGATGTTATTGTAAACAAGATAAAATTTCGTAAACCAACATTGTAGTTCAAGAACAATCTTTGAATTCGATCATGGTTTAAATTTGTGTTACAACATATATATATATATACGAGAAAACCAATAAATATAATACAATATACAAAACGGTACAAAAAACCGAATAATCCACGGACGCATAACGCTTATTCGCGATTTACATGGAAAGAGTCACTGTGGAATACCACCAACATTAAGCGCAGTTTCGTATATGTGCATATCTCACCTATGATCTAACGCCGACCCTTTTGATACCTGTAGAAGCTATATCCAGTCTATTATCAGATCAGTGACTATCTCTCAAAAGTTCATTCAACTTTGATTTTGCGTTTGAATTTCGTATCAGAGTAATCATGCAGATGCATTGTAATCCCTATGTAATCAATTATTCATTGTTTGTAAAACTGCCTGCAGGCTCAGCCTCCCTCTCCGCCCTTGTTAAGTTCAATTCCACGTACTGACCTCTTGCTCACAAACGTAAAATAGCAACACTAAAAAATTGCGAATTTCATTTCAATCATTGAGAGTTTATGTTCCGTGTTCATATATGTAGCGAAATCATCCTTACCACGCTCAGTATTGGTATTTTTTCCTAGTTTGATATTTTCTGTTTGAATGTCATTGCTATTTCTTTTGCACACAAACTTTATTCAAATTTTAGTAATTGATATTAATTTGTCGTTGGAAAATTTGATCAATTTCTTAAGATTTGTGGCATCAGTCTAGATACTCGTCTTCCAAACCTTTATCAGTGTACTACAGGTATTCTTGGTAGTAGCTTTAAAAGAAAATTATAGCCACTAAAGTTTAATAATATTGTATTGCGGAAATGGTGTTGTGTTGGTTAAAATAGCAGAATTAGCAAAAATCAGAGCAGTCGTTTACCTTACAAATAAGTAAGTCTTAAAATCGCAACTTGTGACTTCCATAATTAACTGGCTATTTGTGATAAATTTTTGAGATTTTTTTGACGCTGTAATTGTGAGGTAGAGATACAAGTCATACAAGTGACTCAAGTACAACTCAAAAAATCATGTTTCTTACTGCAAACACTTTCTACTTTTAGGGAGTAATCTTAACGTTGACGCCGTCATTGCAGTGGTAGACAACATAAAAATCAATTTAGCAATTTTTCGACTTAGCATAACAATAAATAGAATCTTCTAAAGAAAGATTTGACAGTGCGATAATATATTCACTCCTGTTATGCAAAGTGGACACTTGACTATTTATATCAGAACACACGTTATTAGATATAAGAACAAAGATTTATTATTACGTGGCATAACTTTATTTTGATTTGAAGTACACCTGCGATTAAAATATTTTTGCTGAAGGGGAAGTGAAGTTTGTTTTATTGAATGAAGATAAGTAAAACCTATACTTTCTATATTGAATGACACAAAACTTAGCTAAATAAGGAAAATATTTCTGCCTTATTGAAATATTTCAAAATCTTGTCATTGCTCAATTGTAACAATATTAATCATACCATTTAAACTATAAAGAAATTTTGTCTCATAGTACGTGCATTATTATAAGGACAAAGTGTTCTTGATAGCACAAAATAAAAACCCAAAAGATAACACTGTGAAGGTTTGTATATCAGATCATGGCACTTTCACAAAAATGCAAACGAAGTCGAGTCTGATGTGTACATAATGCGCACAAGAATGTCAACGAACTTCATATATAGACGTTTATGCTTGTATACTTATAAAGAATCCGCGCTGTTTACCATCAATCACGAATCAATGCCATACAAAACGTGTTTTATCAAATTTTTATCGAGGCTGTTTTTACTGTTTATGCAATTGTCAACTTGGCATCATAGAGATATCAAAGTTTTTATAGACCATCAATTGAAGCAGTTACGCTTGCAGAATAGCTTATAAACAATGAAAAAAAATTTGAGTTAATAAATAACAAAGAACTTAAGATATTTACAAAATCATCAATTACTTATCAGTAGAAGACGCAAAATTTTCATTTCATAGCAGTTGCTTGTAGCAGGATTTAAAATTAATCATTCCTCTCTATTAAATGAACTTCTACAGTATACCGTTCAACTTCCTAAACAATTCCAAACCTGAAAGCTAAATTGGCTTATAAATCAGTAGCATTACATAAAATACAATTATCACGTCAGACCAAAATAAAGTGAAGAGACTGAAATATTATGCTGCGTGCTTACTTCTCCTCTAGACAATAATGAGTGAACTCTATTAATGATAGTTCAACACATTATACTTCCACCGAAACCGAAACCAATCATTTCGCCAATAAGCAAAAAACACGCGTGATCTGCACGATGTTCTAAACCAATCACAATTGTCTTTTTTAAGTGTCACGCGTGCATGTAACTCACACGGATTGCAAAGTAAAAATAAACTTACTGTTAATAGATTAAGAACGTGCAGTAGCAATGATTAAAATTTACTTTAGTGTTGTTCCTTTAATTCTGTGTTAGAAGAACTGGATTATATGTGGTTGAGTGGTGCTAATTATTATTCTGTAATGCACCTGATATTTAAACTGCATTATCTAGATCATATAAAGGAGAGTGTCATTTACATAAAAAATAAAGTTTTTGATTAAAGACCGTGCATTTAAATACTTTTATGGTCAAACATATGTCTAGCTAAAGTGCTTTATTTTTCCTGTTAAGAGCCAATACTCAGAAACCTGTTGGGGCTTTTGATTTGAGAATGGCTGGTGCTACAGAAAATAGTAAAAATGCAAGATATTTATCCGAATCTTAAAAATGACGCTATAACTTGCATGGAACTTCTTTTCAAAGTAATCACTGATGCAATTAAAGCAAAACGAAGTAAAATAATTTTACAATTTCTATTTCTCTTGTTTTTATGTAATCGTTAACCGTTGTAGATGTGAGTCAGTATGATTATAAGAAATTTTTGGTTTAAAAAATATCCAAAAAAGAGGCTCGGAGTGATTTTTGGTGGTTTCTTAAATATTCATAATCTATTCATATTCAACTGCAAATTTTAAGCAAACAATTGTACATTACCATTATAATCATGAATTTGCTTAGAGATTACGTGGCTACTCTACTCATTTCTCCATTATCAAAAAACAATATTTGCTGAAACGGAAATGAATCCGTTTTATTGCAAATACTTAAAACAGAGGACTGAAGTTAGCTCTTCATTACAAGCACAACAATTAATTGATGAGCTCTTAAAGAAGTAAACTGAGGTTGGAAATGATAAAAGTGAAGATGAATCTTTTAATGGTATCCTTGGTGTTGCTATCAAATACAGTCAGTGCATCGTTTAAGAAAAAGAACTCAAAGGTTTGGAGTCATTAACTTTGTGAAATGGTTTAAGTTAAAATTTCGGTTCAAGAATTATGTGCATATTTTAACGCAATAGTCTTTTTTTAAGGTCGCGATATACTTTGTTCGTGTAGTTTATTTATACTTATTGAGTATTAAAATTATAATTTGCAAACTGTTTTGTATAAGCACCCAGCAAATAGATTCCTGTGAATTAAGGTGAAAAAGGGCGTTGTTCAACTCGGAACATCTCAAAGAAATTTACAAAAACTAGATCATATTATCCGTTGAGAAATACATTAGGCTCGGGGAGACTTCAACGCAAAAGAAAGAGGCTGTTATTATTTCTTCAACCACTATTTGAGCCACAATTCAATATTTATAGAACCTTCACCCTTTAGTTAAAAACATTTTCCTCTACCCTTTTCAAGGCTCAATGTTCAGCAAGCTGTGGAATTCCCGGGGTTCCCGGAGTTCCCGGTGTACCTGGAGCAGCCGGACGAGACGGTTTAAAAGGAGACGTAGGATCTAAAGGAGAAAAAGATGAACGAGGTAATCCTGGTCCTCCGTTGAAAAATGACATGAGCTTTTCAAGCTGGAAACAATGTTCTTGGAAAAGAAACGATGGTAAAGATCATGGATTAATTCAGGTGCAATAAGTATATGAAATATTTCTTTTGTTATGAATTATTACATATCGTTTTAGCAATGATTTCATTTCATTTTAGAATTGTGTATTCACAAAAAAGTTTGACAACACTTCCCTTCAAGTGTTTTATGGAGGAACCTTGCGAATTTATGGGTGCAATGTTTGTTGCAAACGTTGGTATTTTACTTTCAATGGAGTTGAATGTAAAAACCCTCTTCCTATTGATGGAGTTCTTTACATGAAGAATGGAGAGTCACAAAATATCCATCGACATCGTCACATTGAAGGATATTGTAACAAAATTCATAAAGGAAAAGTGCAAGTTGGATTCTGGGTCGGCAATTGTGCAGGTTTCGGTAACGCAGATGCATCCACTGGATGGAAATCAGTTTCTCGTATTGTTATTAGAGAGGTTCCTCCTCCACAAGATTAATTCCTTTTGTATGTTCTCTTCTCGTAAAATCAGTATTTAAATTCCCGTTCTGGTTTTTTTTCGTTTTTTTACTGTATTGTACATCTAGTATGCAACATAAATTTTACAATCGTATATATATATTGCAATCTATAATCGCTAAACTACCAAAAAATGGGACTTCCTTTGAGAGAAAAATAGGAATAGTTCATATGGTTTGGTATTTGCTATCATCCATTTACAAAGTGTTGTTTCATTACTATGACTTTCATAGAATATATCTTGACTCATTTTGGAAGTCATTTCAAAGTATTCACAATAAGATTAGTACTCAGGTCAACCATCTGAGCTTTAGTCGAAAACTGATATTGAGTTTGTCCGACTCGGCATTTCAGCCAATTGAATTCCACAGCGACTTTACATCAATATTGCATACTATATTTTTTCTCAGTTCTCCAAAGAAACACTAATTTAAAAATAAACTACTGAATTGCCAAATAGACTTGGACGTTTTTTAGAAGAAACCCACTTTCTTTCGGGTTGCTTCATTTTTTTATGTATGTAGTTGAGGGAACTTCAAAAACCAAAAAGTATTAAAAAATAACAAATCTGTAAGCTGCAGTATACATGTATCAGTATCACTAAAACAATGTACACTTTGAACTTGAGTGGACGTTGTTGAATCCTGTGTTAGGGCATAGTATAGGGTAATTCTTTAATTGGATGGAAACAATTGCTCGAGTGACATGTTGAACAAACAATAGTAGCTACGCATTATTACCATAAATAAGGTAAGACTCTTGATAAAAAAAGCATGACTACATACATAAGCAGTCATTATGAGCACTACTCTTTCTATAGTTTGCTGTTTTGTATATTTGTTATTCAGTGAACTTGAATTCATAATCTCATAGTCTAAGACTCAGAAGCAGTGCACTAATACAGCATTTATGAACTAGTGGAATGAGAGTTTTTGCGTTTTATAGTTTAATGCCACTACCCTATAGTTTAGTGACAGGATTATATAATTGAATGAAGGGTGTGATCGCTCTTTTTCTCCGTTGGAATATGACATCATTATTTAAACGAAGTGACACCTTGATATTTGTATGATCACTTTTTTCTCAGAAAATCAAACCAATGGTTCAAAGTACAAATAAGGAAGAAGCCTTAAAACTTTACTGGTGAAATTTGTAAATGGCTGTTTGTGATAGTTAATTAAGTAGAGTTTTGGCCATTGCAATTGTGAGGTAAAGGCTCAAGTCATATAAATGACTCAGGCACAACTTCAAAAAGTTGTGTTTCTTATTACAGGCCCATTGATTCTGGAAAGTAATAATAATATTGACGTCATTAATAAATGTGGTGAACAACATGGACAATTATAATTCATTATTTTAAATATATGTAAATGTTAACGCACTGTCACAGTATAGGAATATACAGTAGGGCCACTTCACTGTGCAACTGGCTGTTGTATATTTAATTAGTTTACTGGCTGCCGTTTTCCATATCGTCAATCCTATTGGTCACCTAATGCAATTTAGTGAATGCCAATAATGTAATCACATGCGTAATAAGATATGCGTGGCACACAAATATGGAGTGGCCCTACTGTATGTTCTTTATACTGTGGCACTGTATTTAAAGATGTCCGAACAGACTTTAATAGAATCTCTGTAGGTTTAGAAAGAAGGAAATAAATAATGTTTTTAAAACTTTTACATCAATCTACACAACACTCCGCTTATGGTGCTCTTCTGAGTGGTCACTGCCAGCTTGTGGCATCAATGGTTTCCAACTTTTCAGAACCTTGTGCATGGCTGCAATACTCGACGAAGTAGTGAACAAATTAAACGTTTTATTCAATTATGTTTCAGCAGACGTTTATATCAGCTCTTCTGTGAGACGATGACTTATGAAGAAGTTATCAAACTGTTGAAAAATCTTGATATTAAAACTCCTATAATGAAATATTTTGGCGAAATATATAAGTTGGCTACTCGATGCGAGAGTTTAGACGCGTTTTTGCAAAGATTATAACTTTTGTGATAGTGCGTCAAATCAATATCGTTACGAAGATGTGCGAGATGCGTTTATAGCAGGGATATTTTCAACCAATATTCGCCAACGCCTTCTAGAGAATAGAACACAACATCTTCTGACAGCTTTTGATCAAGCCCGAGCTTTAGACACGGCTCAGAGAACCTCGGAAACGTGCGCAGATAGAACTCCCAATC